TCCTACATTTAAGGTTCTAGGCCGTGAAGCGATGCTTTATCTCATTGCAATACTTTGTGAGAATTATGGAAAGAATAAGTATCTAACAAATTTGGTGGACAATACACGAATTCACATTTTACCATCGATGAATCCGGATGGTTATGAGAAGGGGTTTGAAGGTGATCGTACTGGATACACTGTAAGTTGTTATACGAATCCGTACATTTTTGAATTTGGAATTTTTTTTTGCTAGAACAATTTTTTATTTACAAAGTTGCACATCAAAATAAACAAAGCATCAAGACTCAATTTATAATAAAAGCTCAAAAACCCTTTCATTATTGACTTTCTGCGAGAGGCGAAGGCACTCAGAAGTATTCCAAAGTGGCAAATGCCAATTTCAGTTACCCTTTTATGAGACTAATGGTGGTTCTGTCTTTCGAGGATTGCTTAGAAGAAAACTTAAATTGTATTGTTACTACTTTGATTGTTTGGCAAATTTTTTAATACGAATAATGCCGCGATCACTAAGACCACGTGGGCAGTCGGTGTGTGGACATTCCGTTTAGTGATTTTATGGGATACCATAAATTGGGCACAACTGTGCCGGCCCTTCGATCTCGAGTTACCATGGCGGATTCAGGACGTACTCCTGGAGGACGGAAAGAGGGGGGGGGGTAAGGGAGGGGAGGGCGTTAGGAGGCGGGGGAGAGAGTGGAGCGGTGAAATTTCCTCTGATAATCTGAAGCTTTTACAGATTACTTCTAAAACTGTTAATGGTTCTCTTCGTTTTCTTATAATCGAATTTAGGCTGCTGCGGTAATGGATAACCTAGGTGACTCGCGCACCAGTAAACAGACCCGGGCTTAGCGAAGCTGGTGCCTGTGCCGCTCGGGAACGAGGAGGACGGGGAAGGGGAAGGGTGGAGTAAAAGACCGTTCTTTCCCCTTTCATTTTCCCGGATTCACCTATGCCAGTTGTACACCTCCTGTTCGATATCTCTGTGCCAATTTTTGTGGATGCATATCGACAAATCGGCCTAGATTCTGTGGCAGCGTCTAGGATTTATGGCAACTAAACACTAAACTTATCAAATTAGGTGATCGGTGAAGGGAAACTGGGCTTTTTTTTTT